CCCTTAACGTCGATCGTGACCACGAGCGCCTCCATGCCGTGGTCGTTGCTGCTAGGTTGGTCCTCAAGGGTGAAGGTTATGGGCTCCATCTTCTGCCTCTTCCCGGTCTCCCGGGAATCCACTACTGCGACCGGGCAATTAGTCCGCGGTCGGGAAGCATCTTCCAGCCCACCAAAAATGACGTGGATGGTAGGTTTTCCGGACGGGCGGCTATCGGACGGAGGGTCGGGGTCCCGTCGGTCATCATGACGATCATCCCTTCTGTCTTGCCCAGTTCGACCAGAGCGGTGTTGAGAACGTCTATGATCCCTCCGATCGGTGTTCCTTTTGCTTTCCTCTCTCTTCCCCACACACTTGTCCAATTTTCCTCTGTTCAGCAGATCTTCCAACAATTAGCGCAAGTGGGTACACTCCTCGGTGTCATGCCCGGCACATCGATGGTAAGCACAGTGCTTACTCTTGTCAGGGCCGTCTCGGTCGGGATGGGGGAGTTTGATGAGATTGCAGGACTGGGCGTACTGCATGGCCTCCGCTGCAGATCGGTTCAAGGGCGTAAACTCGCCATGCCTGGTGCGGGGTCGGGGATTGTCATCTCCCGATCAATGTTCCGCCCGGCTGGCCGGTTTACGAGACGAAGAGCCGACCTCCTGCGAGCGCTTGACGGCATTCGCCTCACCTGCGTTGGCGTAATTAGTGACCCTTCGGAGGGCCTCCTCATAGGTGGTCGGGGGCTGGAGGATAAAATCTTGGTATAGATACCCCGCCCGGAGGGAGATGTGAAGCATGTGAGTGGCGGTCGCATCATCCATGGGCTCGACCTCCCCGACTGCTGCCTTCCATTTGATGAGGAAGTCGGTCAAGCTTTCCCCTTCGAGCTGCTTGGCCTTTTCGAGGTACATATAGGACTTCCTCACCACTTTGGAAGTAATGAACTTCCGTACAAACTTGATCGCCAGGGTCTCAAATTTGTCGATTGACCCCGGCTGCAGGGTTCGGAACCATTCTGCCGCCCGACCGGTGAGGGTTGAGTAGAAGGCCCTGCACATCACGGCGTCCGAAACGCCCTTCAGCATCATATTGCTGAAAAAATCATTCACGTGAGCCTCAGGATCTGTCCGACCGTCGTAACTCTTCTCTCCCGAGACCTTTAAGTCGAGCGGGTAAGGCTGAGCCATTACCGCTGCTGTGAAAGGCGTCTGGTGTAGGGTCGATCGGTCGGCCGGGGGTGCTGTAGGATACGCACTCCTGAGCTGCGCAACTTCAGCCTGGAGGTTGTAGAGCAATCCTCGGGTTTCGTTGAGCTCGGCGGCTTGAGCGGCTTGGGCTGTATCCCGAGCGCGTCGCCGTCGGTGAGATCTCGACCCGCTATACCCGGATGAAGCCTCGTGGCTAGCTTCCTGCATTTGTACGTCCTCTTGTCCGCGATTCGGGTCTTGGGGTCCCAAACGCTGGCGCATCTCTGGTCGGAGACGATCAAAAGCTACCGCTCGGGCAACTTCTTCGGGGTCCTCCGCTTGAACGGCCTGAGCTGGTGCCTCCATCGCATCAGCACCCCCCGACCCCAACCGCGAATGAGCCGAGCGTCGAGCCCGGGATGTGGACTGACGCTGCGGCTCTACTTGTGCGGTCGGTTGTACTGGAGGGGCGGCGACTGGAGCTGTACAGGCAGGCGTATATGGTGGATAACCAACCGGGGAAGTGTAGCACATCGGTTGTCCTGGCCAATACCCATATGGTGGAGGTGGGACCGGGTACGGATACTGGGCGGGATACATCATGGGCTGCTGCTGGTATGGCAGACCGGGTGTTGGGTATCCTGGTTGTATGTAATTCACCGGCTGCTGGGCGGCCGGGTACGTATTTGACAGATGCGGTGGTGAGAGGTTGAGGTTGAGGTCCATCGTCTGACCCTGCTGTTGGGTAGCATAGTGGTCGGAGGAGCTCGCCGCGTCCGCCTGGTCGTCGGCAAAGTTGTTGTGTGCCCACGGATACATGTTGGTATAGAGACCGGGTGCTCGTCAAGACGTTGGTTTCTCGTACGGATCCCCACAGACGGCGCCAAAATGATACTGCTAATTATATGTAAGCAATATAAAATAACACGAGACCAATTAAAGCAAGTAAAATCTTTATTGATCACGGTAAAGGCCCTAAGTACAATCTACTTGGTTGCTCTGAGTACCGACTGAGTGCGGTCGGGATTCTCTAACAACAACCTATCGATCGTCCAAAAGTCCTCTACACTGTAGCTACTGTGGGTATTTATAGCCGCCGTGCCGGGGACAAGATTCCGGCCGCTCGGCATGTCTTCCACGTAGCCACCACGTGTCAACCTCCCGGGTGCCCTGCCTGTCAGCATAAAGAACCGCCACGCGTCCCCTCGCGTCCTTTTTGGCAGCTCTTTCGTCCAAGGGCTACCGCTCGGTGGTCGACACCAGCGTTCGGGCAACTTCCGGCCATTCCCGACCGGGGTCTCCACGGAAAAAGCCCGACCTGCCACCTGCAAAGATCAGAAGAGAAAGACAAAGGCAAGTCGGTCGTGGTGGAGCTTATGTCGGTCGGGATATTCCCTACCAGCGGGTTTTATTTTATCTTTGCGCCAAGATACACGACGGAATTTAATTCCGTCGCCTTTTCCGTCGTCATTTCGCAACGGAATGTATTCGGTCGCAATTTCGGTCGCTAAATGGCGACGGAATATAGTCCGTCGTGATTCGCGATTTTTCTTGTAGTGATATTGCCCCTCCCCTAATAGGAAGAAGGAGAAACATTGTTGTTGTGAAGGAGAACAAACGAAAAAAAGAAAAATGAAAGAAAAAAATGTAGTTTTCAAACATGGAAAATGACAGGTAACTACATTTACGCCACTATTCACTAATAATTCAGGAGAGAGACAATATATGTCACGTTTTGAAAATTGATAAACAACCTAACATTTACACTACTAATAATTCAAAAGTGACATTGATAATTGACATATTTGTGAGGATATAAATTACAATTTTTCCTATATTTTCCAAACAAATATATCCAATAACACAATATCGGAATGATTAAATTCCCACACATTTCATCTCCCAAGATTCTAGCTCTAGTTCTACTTCACCCACTTTAATGAATGCCATGTATAATTAACTTTTTAAGTTATTACGCGCGGCTAGGTTGGGTGTTTGGTTATGTTTCCATAAAATTGTATCTTTTCTAATAAGATTTTATATTGGGTATAATTATAACCTTAATGGTACTAAAATATTGAAGTTTATGTCGAGTCTAGTACGAAAAGTACATATAACGATACGTGCATAGTCTCAAAATGAGATTTGGTGAAAGCAATTGTTCAATTAACAAAAAATGGTATATGATTTGGTCATTTTGAGGTATTAAACTTTGTCTTATAGTTTTTATTTAGAAATTTATAAATTATTTTAAACTACAAATATACTATAAATTTTGTTTCGTAAATAAACGATTGTTTAAAATAATAAATTATTTTAATAGACTACATTTTATTGTGTTTCAAAATAAGCTTCCAACTTTTAACCTCTTTTTAAATTTTTATCCTCATAAATCATAAACCTCTCTCCTATCTTTTTCCTTCTGTTTTTTTCCCTCTACTTTCAATCTTCAAAAGTTCAAATAATCCACCACTTCTATTTTTTTTTTTCTTTTTCTTTTCTTAAAGACTTTTTTCCACTTCGAAGTTCCAACTATTTTTTTTTTAATAATATTAACTCTATTACAAGGTAATATCTATTCTATATTTTCTCAAATTGTTGAAGACCAAAGAGTTAATACCTCACCACCGAGGTTCCAATAATTTTTTAAAAAAAAATATTTTAACTTTTTGTATAAGAAAAGAAACTAATTAATTAGATTAAAGTAACTGTCCAAAGCATTAACTTGTTGCCAATCGATCTTGAGCTGTTTTATACTTTTATTTAATTTGTAACAACCTTCAACCATTTGTCTTCTGTAAATTAAAGGAGTTTCTCAATTTCTATCTTTGACTCATTTTGAAACACTTTTTCTGTAAATCTTACTTCTCATTTTGTATGTTTACCCTCCAAAAAATTCCCCTAATATATATTTTTTTTTAATTTAAAGTTTTTTATTTAAAATTATAAAAATAATTTGTTAAAAAAATAATTTTTTTAAATCTGATAATCGCCACATCATGTATGGTTAATAGGTCATTTTAGGTTCAATTGCATGAATTTGTATTGTTAAAAAATCTAATTGCAACTTTTTTGAGTTGAATAACCCAATTACAGTTTAATGTGTAGTTGAATGATCTATTTGACCTTTATTCCTAAGATTAAAAATGTCACTCCATTATTAAATGTAACGATCGACGTCTATACGATAGGAACTAAATATGCTATTAGTATATCATTTGAGAAGAAAAGAAGTGATATAAAGATTAAAATATCCATGTCTAATAATAATAATAATAATAATAATAATAATAATAATAATAATAATAATAATAATAATAATAATAATAATAATAATAATAATAATAACCAAGCTAAGGTTACTTTTGTCATTTCATCTCTTGTTTCCTTTTTTAAAAGCATTGAATTGCAATTCAATAAAAGAAGAGAATTGCAATTCCCTCAAACCAAACATTGTAATTTGCCCTGCCATTGAATAAAGTAGAAAAAGAATTCCAATTACATCGAACCAAACACCCCATAATATAGTAAGCACTTTGCCCTTAATTAATTGAATTGGCCTGGTACGAATGAGAATTAGTGTGAATATGGTACGGGCTTAAAGGTTCTACCTCGTGATACAAAAAAAAGTTTATATTATTAGATAAAAAATAAATAAATTTGAAAATTATTAAAACAAAGTGACCAAAAAAAGTTTAATTATATTTCTTCTCCCAAAAGTTTAATTATATTTGATCTGAGGAACGAATATATAGGAAAAAAGTGGGACATGGAGTATTAATAAGAAAAAAAATGAATTTGTGGGCAAGAAAAAGAAAATGAATATTCTTGAAGCTTCCCATTCATTACATGGAACTATAAATACCTCTTTTTGATTCATTAACCTCTCCATTCCAAAATCAACAAATAAAATAGAGATGGAACAAAAAACACCACAAATAGTAGCCAAGAAGTTATGGAACATATCAAGAAGCAAGCTAATGCTTGACCTCCAAATCGCCCTGCAAATCATGCTCAAGCGAGGGAATAAGCTCGCCAGAAAAGCCATTAGTGACCTCATCATGCTCCACCACGGCGGCGCCCACACCTCCGTCGCCGCCCGCCTCTCTTGCCGGTCCAACGACGCGGCCGCCGTGTCGTTCGTAGGCCCGCACGAGTACGAGTTCAGCTGCAGCAGCAGCCCCGCCGCCGCTCTATTCCCGTCGTCGTCTCACTACGCCGGCAGCAAACGCCGCAATCGCAACCGCCGCCGCGACGATGTGGTTTCGTTTCAAAAGGTTTTGGAGTCATTGGACAACGAGATCATCGCGGCAGCGGAGGCGGCGCCGTCTCCGCTGGTGGCGCTGCCGGTGAGGCAATTTCCTCTAAAAGATAGCTCAGAGGGAGGCTCTGAAATCGATAAAGATGCTGAGGAGTTCATCAAAAAATTCTACAGAGACTTGAAGAAACAGCGACGAATTGCGGCGCTTGAACCTCCGTCACCTTTTCATATTTGGGCACACTGAAGGAGAATATATATATATATATATATATATATATATATATATATGGATTAGGGTTTCCATGGCATACGTGCAACATCTGTGTACATGTAACGCTTTATCATGGAGGAGACTGGAGATGCGAATTGAACTCCACTCATCTCCAATTCTCCATTCACACCCTAGCAATATTTTATTTTCTATAATATTACTCCGTAGTATTTATTGTACCAAATTTTGTAATGTCGAATGTGATTTCTAAATTGGATAATGTTTGAATAACAAAAGATTATGATACTTTGAGCTTTTTATTTATTTATTTATTTATTTAAAAAAAAAATTTAGAAGCAAATTCTCCTAAGAACATCCTTATCAATTGGGGATATTAGGGGGAGAATGTAAGAGTGAGTAGGAAAGAGAATAATGTGGGAGGGGAGGCAAAAAAATCAAAACTAATTTTATAAAAAAAAAACTAAAAAAAATAAGAATGTCATTTCTCTATTGGTTCTCTCTCTCCTCCATCATTAATTCTTTTTCTTGGGCGGAGTATATCCCAACCTTTGCAGATGCTCCCCATCCCTTCTCTCTTGATTCTCTCTCTCCCACCATGGCATTTTAGGCCTCAAAAGTAGTGAATTCTCCCCATTTCTCCTCTGATGTAGATGCTCTAAGGATCCTTGCAGGTGTATTTTATTTTATTTTATAAATATTACATTTTTATATATAAATATTACAATTTTCATTATGGTACATTTACGAATTCTTAGCTTTTTATTTTACTTTTCTTCATTTTCTTTTCTCGTTTAAATTGTTAAACACCGTTAAATATAATTTGTACATTTTTTATTTAATAATTTTTTATTTTTCTTGATATATTGATTATTTTTATTGTCTATCTCTTTATAATTTTTCTACTCATCAACCATCAAACATTATTTAATCATGCAATGTACAATATTTAATTTGTCTACTTACATAAATAAAATGAAATTAATATCTGGCTTAAATATGAAGGGTTGAAGTTAAATTATGGTTTTAAAGAAAAGGGATCTGAATGAATGAATTCCATTGATGATGAGGGGAAACTTTTGCTTGTTGGTTGGTTTACACTTTACTGGCCAGTTTTAATGTGTTGCTACTTGCTATCGGAAGTTGTTGCGTTGCAATTAAGGGCTGAATTTATTAGGTATTTTGAAGTTTATGTGAAGTTTAATAATTTATATTTGTAACGGTCTATTCACCAATGTTTTCTGGTGGTAGCACTCCATTTGAGTAGCTGGAAGGTCACTTATCGTGTTCAATTGTAGATAGACATCAGAGTCACCATTCTAATTTTTAGCTTTATCATTTTATTTATTTATTTCGATACTATTATTACAACTCTAAAACTATTAAAACAGTACAATTGTTAACTATATATCTCTTCTTCTCCCAAGGTTCAATCTCCACAATACCGCTGTTGAGGTTCGAAATTTAATCTCTTCTCCCAAATAATACTGCCTACTAAATTAGTGAGCTAAGCCCGTGCGGGCTGTTAACTATATATCTCTAAGATAAGGGATGAAGTTTCTTCATTTTATCCATATTTATGTGCTAAGAAGATTATATAATATATTGTGATAAAAATATATTTATCTAGGCTTTTAAGAAAAATCTATCTTGAAATGTGTACCTAGAACTCCTTTTGCTGTAACATTTCACATTAAGTTACTGGCAATTTAAGGTTTCGAACTGTTTGCTCAGAGAATGTCTCCAACAGTTCCTTCAAATGATCAACTCTTACCTTTCGAGATACCTCTTCGAACCTTAAGCTTTTGTACGTAGCTTTTCGTATTTGAATAGTTGTCCACTTGTCCTTACTATTCGAGTACTATATATTTTAAGTCCCTTATATTCGATAGGCAGGCCCTTCCATTCTTTGACCTTTTGCAACCTTTCGATCTTATATTCTTCGACTTCTTGACTCTTCGATCCTTGAACCTCTTTGAATCTCCTTGTAGACTGTCTGCTGACTATTTGAGATGTAACCATTCGAGATACAATTTGGACTATTCAAACAAAGTGAAAGAATTCCTAAGTCTAAGAAAAATAAAACGAATTGGTGACAAATTAAAATCTAATTTACAATTGTTTCTAACAGAACGGTACACTTAAAGCAAAACCCAAAGCACTTATTTGGTGCGCCGTCCCAAAAAAAAAAAGCAGTAGTTATGAAGGGCTAGAGCACTTATTTAGGAGAGCATCACAATTATTAGGAGGTCGTTGTGCCCATTATTGTAACCGTTTTACTTACATGGAGCTGAGTTGCACTCATTAAACTAGGCTTGTATAAATATCGAACTCATGTGACATGAGAGGGGGGGGGGGGGGGGGTCGGGGGGACATTGAAAATATTATACTCTGAACATAACAATACAAAATATTACCTTCCAAATATATTTCGATAACATTCTTACCGTCATTGGTACTTTCATTGAGATTCTGAAATCAATTCTCAAGTACGCTAGAACATATATATGTCCTTTCTCATCAAGAAGCTTTAAGAGTCATAATAATAACGTACACATTGGATGTTGCCTATCGGGAAATCCTAACACGTGTTGTTAGGGAAAATATAACTTTTAAGACTCATAATAACATTGAACAGGATGCCCCATATTTATTCTGTGAACATCAAGCCATGGATTTGCAGATCTGGGAATGGATTTTATATATAGTTTTATGTTTCAACAGATTAGGAATAGGAAGTTTATAAATAGTTTTATGTTTCAACAGATTAAGATCGAATAGAATTATTTATAAACATAAAATCAAGTTTTTACTAATTAACAACACTTGTGGCCATGGATTTCTATAAAGGTATATGAAAACCATCAGGCAATGGATCTTATTATATGTTTGGTTGAGCAGCCAAATGTTTATAAATAATTTTATGTTTCAACAGATTAGGAATATAATTATTTATAAACATAAAATCAAGTTTTTACTAACAACACTTGTAGCCGTGTATTTCTATAAACGTATAAGGAAACCACACATATATCTCTGCAAATCCATGGCTTGATGATCATTTTTGCTTAATAAAATCTATGTAGCATGGAAATGGAAATGGCAGACGGAGACGGCGCTACTACAAATAAGACCTTTAACGCCGATTTTTTGACACATTTAATGTTAGTTTTCATTTGACGTCGTTCTTCCAGACGTAGTACATAAATGATACGATGTCGGTTAAAAAATCAACGTCCTAAAATTTTTTTAATTTAAAATATTCACGTACGACGTTGGTTATTTGTATAAAGCCGACGTCGTAGTATTTTTTAAAAAAAAAAATAATTACTGTACGACGTCGGTCTTTTAGAAAATCTAAAAGACCGACGTCGTATTAATTTCAATATGAAAAAGCCTCGAGAAACAGAGAAATGACAATTTCAAAAAAAAAAAAAAAAGGAAACAAAACATGTAAATAAAAAAAAAAAATACATACTTACTATCTTAATATAAGTTGGCAAATTAAAGTTTTTTATGTTCACAAATTCATCTTCACTAATATTTACATTGTTTCCGAAGAATGTACAACCAATATTGAGCTTGTACGAAGCATCACATCTTAGAGTGCATGGGGAGCTGATTTTGGAGGAAGCACTAACATTTACCGCTTCTCACCTAGAATCGATGCTACCACACTTGAACAATCCTCTTAGATCACAAGTGAGAGAAGCACTAAAGTGTTGGAAAAAAAATAGTTTAAAATGGCATAAAATGACATGTTAAGTGGCTATTTTGTGGTACAATTATTAGTTGGGTTCATTTTTGATTTGGGTCGGGTCGAAGTGGATTCGGGTTCTTCGTAGTGAGACGAAGAGATTGATATATTGTACGCTCAAAACGGATAATGGGTGAATGAGATATTGATTCTCAAAGTAGACCCATTTGAGTTGGAAAATGAAGGAAAAAAGTGAGCTTTTGCCCCACATTGGTTTGGAAAGAGGATTTGCCCCCCGCCTCTCGCACGAGGGGGGGGGGGGGGGGTGGGGAGGTGCAAATCAAATTCCAACTAGAAACGAGATCGAAATGGCTTGATTCAAGCCCGAGCTAGTGTGCGCCGGCACCTGCGGGCACGAATGTCGTCCGGAAATTGGCTGGGCTAAGTGGATGAGGGCCGAAAGTTTCGGCCTGTGGTTCGTTGGTCTTGGAACAAGTTCCCAAACATCATTTCGCTTGAATTGATCGAGTTCCTCTTGCATGGCGTCAATCCAACCTGGATCATTTAGAGCTTCGTCTACTTCTTTTGGTTCAATTTGAGATATATAACATGTGAACAATGCTTCCATGGTAGATGATCTTGTTTTCACGCCATCTCGAACATTTCCGATCACTAATTCTGGTGGGTGATTTTTGAGCCATCTTAAGTCTGGTTCAAATGGGTGCATGGTACTGGGTGGATCCATTGGTTGAGAACTGGTAGCACTGGTTCGAATTTCTCCTTGAAATTGATTTCCAACTTCTCCAATAATTACATCCAAGGGCTGATTTACAATTTCCACTTCAACTGCATCCCTGGGTTGATTTGCAATTTCAATACCAACTGCATCCCTAACTTCATTTCTTACTGGATGAGGGATGAGATTTTCTAGAGAATTAATTTCTAACTCATCCATTCCCTGCAAAATATTATCTTCACACGTATCATTAGTATCACAAAAATCAATATGACACTTGTTACCATTTTGTTCAATATCTTCGCCATTTTCGTCCAGAGCATCAATATTGACGTGTGATTTTTCATCAAATACCACGTGTATGGATTCTTCAACCACCATTGTTATTTTGTTCAAAACTCTGAATGCTTTGCTGGTAGTCGAATATCCTAGAAAAATTCCTTCATCTGCACGCTCATAAAAAGCTTTTAGATGCAATTTATCATTAATATGAATAAAGCACTTGCATCCAAAAATATGAAAATAACCAATATTTGGTTTTCTCCCTTTAAATAGCTCATATGGCGTCTTGTTATACTGCTTGTGGATCATGCTTCGATTTTGAGTGTAACAAGCAGTGTTGATAGCTTCCGCCTAATATCTTTTCGGGAGTCCAGCTGCACTAATCATCACTCGTGCGGCTTCTTTAAGCGTCCGGTTTCTTCAGATAATTGATGTGAAATTCCTTGTCCATTGCAAAATGATTGTATCACGCTGTTCACGAACTCGGTTCCACGATCGGTTTGGATTTTTGATATTTGCAATTCCTTCTCATTTTGTAGTTGCTTCAACAGCTTCGGCAGCTTTGGCAACACTTGCTCAACTTCATTTTTCTTCTTGAGAAATACGATCCAAGTGTACCTGGAAAAATCATCAACAACAACAAGAGTATATTTCTTACCACTAACACTTATTGGATCAACTGGTCCAAATAAGTATGAAATTTCTGTATTCGTGTTAAATATTATTTCTAGATAATATTTCAGTCTGATTCTATTTGAGTGATTGACTTAGCACTATCGTAGACCAGTCAGTAGTTCAGTGTATAATCTTGGTGCGGAAATTAAATCAAACAGAAGTAAGAGACACAAAATATTGTTTACCCAGTTCGATACAACAGTATCTACGTCTGGGGGACGATCACCGATGCGTCCAATCCACTAACTCATAATCCAATGTACAAAGGTAGAGAAAACCGATCTTACCCAAGTTCCCCACACAAGGTCAGTACCCAGTCTACAGAGGTTTAGTGGATTGTTGAAGTCGGAGAGCCGCGCATCCAGAAGTCTAATGAAATCCCTTCAATGGAGAGCTAACTCTGATGTAGTCCGCTTCACTGACGCAGTCCCACGTTGTTCCCACAACTGAGTGATCTTCGCGTCCACTGGTTTAAGCATGATTGATTCTTCTCAAGTTTATCTTCTTAAGCACCATGAACTGTATTTCTTGAGAAGGAATAGAATAACCAGAGCTGTGTATTCTTTTAGAATTGAGAGTGTCGGCTTCAAGGCATTCAACCCTAACTT